AGTTGATGGTAAGGTTTAGGGTTTGGGGTAGGGTAAAGGTTAGGATTGGGGTTAGAATTAGGGTTAGGTTAAGGTTTAGGGTTCGGGTTAGGGTTTTACCATTAAAGAATTCTTACATTTCGTCTATAATATCTGTGTTCCGTTTTGCGTTATGCAAACAGCGCTCCCGAAGGAGTGAAGCGGAAATAGCGTAAGGCTCAGAGCTTTCAGACCCAGCTTTCATACTATTACCGAAAGGGGATTACGTCTGAACATTAGGAAGAACTGGGTTGTTGTAGGTTTTTTCGGGCTATATGGCCATGGTGTAGAGGCATTCTCTCCTGACGTTTCGCCTGCATCTATGGCAAGCATCCTCAGAGGTAGTGAGGTCTGTTGGAACTAGAAAAAAGGTGTTTATATATCTGTGGAATGACCAGGGTGAGACAAAGGACTCTTGTCTGCTGGAACTAGGTGTGAATGTTTCAACTGACCACCTTGATTAGCATTTGATTGCCTGGCAGTGCCTGGAGCAATCTTTTGTTGAGAGGTGATAGATGTCCCTGCCTGCTTCCTCGCTGTTTATTGTGCTGTTGTAATTTTAGAGTTTTTAATACTGGTAGCCAGATTTTGTTCATTTTCATGGTTTCCTCCTTTCTGTTGAAATTGTCCACATGCTTGTGGATTTCAATGGCTTCTCTGTGTAGTCTGACATGGTGGTTGTGAGAGTGGTCCAGCATTTCTGTGTTCTCAAATAATATGCTGTGTCCAGGTTTGTTCATCAGGTGCTCTGCTATGGCTGACTTCTCTGGTTGAAGTAGTCTGCAGTGCCTTTCATATTCCTTGATTTGTGTTTGGGCAATGCTGCGTTTGGTGGTCCCTATGTAGACTTGTCCACAGCTCCATGGTACACGGCAGACTCCTGCAGAAGTGAGAGGATCCCTCTTGTCCAGGCAGTGCTTCTTGTAGGTAAGAGCACGGTCCATAGTGACTCCCAGGTATTTGGGTGTGCTGCAATGCTCCAGAGGGATTCCTTCCCAGGTAATCCTCAGAGCTCGGGATGCTTGGCTGTTCTTAAGGTGAAAGGCACATGTCTGTGTTTTAGATGGGTTGGGGATCAGCTGGTTTTCCCTGTAATAGGCAGTAAGAGCACCTAGAGCTTCGGAGAGCTTCTGTTCTATCATCTCAAAGCTCCCTCCTTGAGCGGTGATGGCACGATCAGCATAGATGAAACTCTCTGTCCCTTCTGGCAGTGGCTGGTCATTTGTGTAGATGTTGAACATGGATGGAGCAAGCACGCTCCCCTGAGGCAGGCCGTTCTTCTGTTTCCGCCATCTGCTTCTCTGGCCCTGAGACTCAACAAAAAAGCTCATGTTTTGTAGCAGGTTTCCTATGAGGCGGATGAGGTGGTCGTCCTTTGTGATATTATACATTTTTCTCAGGAGGAGGTGGTGGTTCACAGTATCATAGGCTGCTGACAAGTCTATGAAGACAGTTCCTGTGATCTGCTGCCTTTCAAAACCATCTTCTATGTGCTGAGTCAGGTTCAACATTTGTGATATTTATTTATTTGGGGTGCTTCTACCCCGCCCTTCTCAACTCCTTAGGGGGGGCTCAGAGCGGCTTACAAAAGGCAGAATTCGATGCCTAACAATTACAACATTCAATGCAAAATACAATACACAAATTTAACACATAATATCACAGTTATACCTGATTAAAACAATCAGACAATAAACTAGCAGCAATAAAAACATCTTGTGGTCAGTGTTCACCAAATCCAAGTCCGTAAACCATTTAGCATTGTCATTGTCCTTTCCTACTCTGGTCATTATTGGTTGTCTTTGTCCATCTGCCAGCCTACCCAAAGGCCTGGTCCCACATCCAGGTTTTTAACTTCTTCCTGAAGGAGAGGAGGGATGTTGATGTCCTAATATCCCCAGGGAGTGCATTCCACAGGCGAGGGGCCACCACCGAGAAGGCCCTGTCCCTCGTCCCCACCAGTCCCGCTTGTGATAAAGGTGGGGTCAAGAGCAGGGCTCCCTCAGCAGATCTTAAACTCCGAGGTGGGACGTAGAAGGAGATACGTTCGGACAGGTATGCTGGGTCAGAACCGTAAAGGGTTTTGTAGGACAAAACAAGCACTTTGAATTGTGCTCGGAACTGGATGGGCAGCCAGTGGAGCTGACATAGCAGGGGGGTGGTATGCTCCCTGTATGACGCTCCGGTGAGCAATCTGGCCGCCGCCCGTTGGACTAATTGAAGTTTCCGAACAGTCTTCAAAGGCAACCCCACGTATTTATTTACTTTATTTACTTTGCTTATATACCGCTGTTCTCAGCCCAGGGGCGACTTGCAGCGGTGTACAACATAGGAAGAACAAAATTCAAGACACTGTATGAAAACAATTCACAATCCAGCATTATACAAAATCATCGTCATTACTACAAAACCCATCTCATCGTCCAAACCACAATCCAGTATCATTTTCCGTTGTTCCATTCCTATAGTCATTACACTTCTTGTTCGAACGTCTTCTTGAACAACCAAGTCTTTAATTTCCTGCGGAATATCATCAGGGAAGGAGCCAGTCTAATGTCCACGGGAAGGGTGTTCCACAGCCGAGGAGCCACCACCGAGAAGGCCCTATCTCTCGTCCCCGCCAGCCGTGGGATCGAGAGCAGGGCCTCCCCGGAAGATCTCAAATCCTGGTGGGCTCGTAGGTCGAGATGCGGTCGGATAGGTATCTTGGGCCGGAACCGTTTAAGGCTTTATAGGCCAATGCCAGCACCTTGAATTGAGCCTGGTAGCAAATCGGCAGCCAGTGGAGCTGGTACAACAAGGGGATTGTATGCTCCCTGCATCCCGCTCTTGTTAGTAACATGGCTGCCGCACGTTGGACCAATTGAAGCTTCCGGGCCGTCTTCAAACCCCATGTAGAAAGCGTTGCAGTAGTCTAAACTGGATGTAACCAGAGCGTGGACTACCGTGGCCAAGTCAGACTTCCCAAGGTACGGGCGCAGCTGGCGCACAAGCCTTAGCTGTGCGAATGCTCCCCTGGTCACCGCTGAGACCTGGGGCTCCAGGCTCAGCGATGAATCCAGGATCACACCCAAGCTGTGAACCTGCGCGTTGCAGTAATCTATTCGGGATGTAACAAGAGCGTGGAGCACCGCTCTGCACGATGTGCAGCTTTTGCCTTTCCTGAAGCCAGCTTGCTGTGGGATCAGACAGGGGTCTATTTTTTCCATAATTCTATGCAAAATAAGTCTCTCCAGAACTTTGTAGAGGTGGCACAACAGGGAGATTGGTCTGTAGTAGGCTTGGGTAACCACGGAAAAATTTGGTTCTAAACTCGTTTCGTTTTTAGGGGCCCTTGCATTTTGTTTTTTTAAAGAATTCCGAAATTTTACTTTAAAAAATTTCGAAATATACGAAATTTTGTAAAATTACAAATCGATTCGTTAATGGCGGACGCGATTGCGCAATATGCTAAAAAAACCTCCAAGTGGGACGGGGGAACTTCTGAAGCTTCCCTCTCCCTCTGTTGTTGACTGTTGGTGTGATAAAACAAACAACAACTATCAAACTTGCACCAGACATGCGAAAATAATTACGAAATAATTAAAACGTATTGTCGAAGGCTTTCATGGGTTGTTGTAGGTTTTTCCGGGCTATATGGCCATGTTCCGGAGGCAATTTTTCTCCTGACGTTTCGCCTGCATCTATGGCAAGCATCCTCAGAGGTAAGACCTCACTACCGCTGAGGATGCTTGCCATAGATGCAGGCGAAACGTCAGGAGAAAAATTGCCTCCAGAACAAGGCCATATAGCCCGGAAAAACCTACAACAACCCAGTGATTCCGGCCATGAAAGCCTTCGACAATACATTGCTATTATTGTTGTTGTTGTTGGTAATAATAATAATAGAGTTGGTGTGCTTTAATATACAATTATATTAATATAATATAATAATATACAATTATAACATATAATATAATATAATATAATAATATAGTAATATAATATATAATATAATAAGATAATATACAATAATATAATATAGTATTATAATAATATAATGTAATATAATATATAATGTATATTATATTATTATAATATTATAATATTATAATATAATATTATATATTATATTATAATTGTATATTATAAAATATAATTACGAAATTACGAAAATAATTACAAAAATTGGAAAAATTGTTTCGATTCTTAATTACTCCTCACACTATTCCTGCAAGGCTCGATATTGGATCGTAAGCTAATTTAAATACGAATTAATAACGAATTTATTTAATACACTTGTATACCGCTAATATCTCAGCCTAAGTCGGCGACTCATTGCGGTTTACAACAATTAAAAACAATATACAATTTAAAACAACAACACATAGACAATACAAATTATTGGGCCACCAATAATAATACCATGTATCTCGTCACTAAAATCACAGTCCAGAATTCGTCATCCATAATTAACCAGTCCTTAGTCCATAAAATTCGGTGATAACAAACTAACCGAATGCTTGTTTACACAACCATGTTTTTAATCTCTTCCGAAACACCATCAGCGAAGAGGCTGATCGTATCTCTATAGGGAGGGTGTTCCAAAGCCGAGGGGCCACCACAGAAAAGGCCCTGTCTCTCGTTCCCACCAGCCGCACTTGGGAAGCCGGTGGGATAGAGAGCAGGGACTCTCCAGAAGATCTAAGGGTCCTGGTGGGCTGATAGGCTGAGATACGTTCGGATAGAATACGTTCGGATAGAATTACGAAATTAACGAACTGGATCGCCCAAGCCTAGTCTGTAGCTTTTTGGATCATTTGGATTCTATGATTCTAGCTCAAAGTGCTGTTAGAGTGTAGGAATTGACTGCAGTGTAGGCGCCCTCTAGAGGTCAATGAGAGCATCTCTTCTGCCCAAGGCTGGGCTGCAACTGTTTCCAAAGAACTTGTCCACGCGGTTTTTTCTGGCTCTGTCTCTTGGAGGGCGGTTTCTACAGAAAAGCCCTGGCAGAGGTTCAAAAGTGGGAGCAGGTCCCGCCCCTTGTTGGCTCAGGAGGCTTAAAAGCACCTTCGGTGAATGGAATTGCTCAGAGCACTCTCTCTTTGCAGCCCAGACCTCCCAACATGATCCAGTGCCGTCCAATCCTCGCTCTGTCCGCCTTGCGGTGCCTCGCCTTGCTTCTCCTGCTTGGGATCACTTGCCAGGTTCAAGGTAAGCAGCCCAGGAGACCCATCATCTGCCTATGCAATCTACTTCATCCCTCAATGCTATGCTTGCAGAACTTAATAACTGCAAGGAACACTTACTGGTGTTGCAGTTTGACCCCCATGGCTCCATGCATGCTTGGGAAGGTAGCAGCACTCTTTGGCAGAGGAGGCTCCCATGATTGCATCTCAATCAAGTGGTGTCAAACGGCATTAAGTCTGCAGAGTAGATGCACCCTAGGGCTGGGCAACCACGGAAAAATTTGTTTCTAAACTCGATTCGTTTTTTAGGGTTTTTTGCGTTTCGATATTTAAAAGAATTCCGAAATTTTTCTTTAAAAAAGTTCGATATTTACGAAATTTCGTAAAATTACGAAACAATATGAAACGAATACGAAACGAATGCGAATCGATTCGTTAATGGCGGACGCGACCGCGCAATATGCTAAAAAACCTCCAAATGGGACAGGGGGAACTTTTGAAGCTTCCCTCTCCCTCTGTTGTTGACTGTTGGTGTGATATTTATAATTTTTTTTCACTGATTAAACAAAGAACAGCTATAAAACTTGCCCCAGACATGCGGAAGTAATAACAAAACGATTTCGAAACGATTTCGAAACGAATACGAAATTAATATGAAGCAATTACGAAATGAATTGAAAAATTCGTTTTCTTTTTAAGATGCTCCTGAATGGTTCAATATCGCTTCGTTATCAAAAAAATAACGATTTTTTAACGAATTACGAAATTACGAAACGAAACCGCCCACCCCAAACCTCTCCTTGGGTGCCTTCTACACTGCCATATAAAATCCATATTATCTGCTTTGAACTGGATGATATGATAGTGTAGACCAGTGGTTCTCAACCTGGGGGTCGGGACCCCTGGGGGGGTCACGAGGAGGTTTCAGAGGGGTCGCCAAAGACCATCCAAAAACGTAATTTCTGTTGGTCATAGGGGTTCCATGTGGGAAGTTTGGCCCAGTTCTATCATTGGTAGGGATCAGAATGATCTTTTATTGTAGGTGAACTATAAATCCCAGCAACTAAAACTCTCAAATGCAAGGTCTATTTTCCCCAAACTCCACCAGTGTTTATTCACATTGGGCATGTTGAGTATTCATGGCAAGTTTGGTCCAGATCCATCATTGTTTGAGTCCACAGTGCTCTCTGGATCTAGGTGAACTACAACTCCAAAACTCAAGGTCAATGCCCACCAAACCCTTCCAGTATGTTCTGTTGGTCAGGGAGTTCTGTGTGCCAAGTTTGGTTCAATTCCATCGTTGTTGGAGTTCAGAATGCTCTTTGATTGTAGATGAACTATAAATCCCAGCAACTACAACTCCCAAATGACAAAATCAATCCCTTCCCCAACTCCACCAGTATTCAAATTTGGGCATATCAAGTATTTGTGCCAAATTTGGTCCAGTGAATGAAAATACATCCTGCATATCAGATATTTATATTATGATTAATAACAGTAGCAAAATTGTAGTTGTGAAGTAGCAACAAAAATAATATTATTGTTGGGGGTCACCACAACATGAGGAAGCGTATTAAGGGGTCGCAGCATTAGAAAGGTTGAGAACTACTGGTGTAGACTCATATAATCCAAATAATCTGGATTATCTGATTTCATAATAATAATAATAATAATAATCTATATAAATAAAAATGTAATGTTTGTTTGTGGGATTAACACAACTCAAAAACCACTGGGGGAATTGACACCAAATTTGGCCACAAGACACCTACTAACCCAAGGAGTGACCATCACTTAAAAAAATTGATTTTGTCATTTGGGAGTTGTAGTTGCTGGGATTTATAGTTCACCTACAATCAAAGAGAATTCTGAACTCCACCAATGAGGGAATTGGAATTGAACCAAACTTGGCACACAGGACTCCCACAGCCAACAGAAAACACTGGAAGGGATTGGCACGAAATTTGGACACAATTTGGACACAATACACCTAACAGTCCAATGAGTGTCCATCACCCATAAACACACACACACACACACACACAAAACCCCAGCAGAACAGACTTAAAACCCCAAAAAATACACCATATACACATACACACATACACTCATATACATATGCACATGCACACATTCATACACACACACACACACATGCACAAACACACACATATACACACATACATACACATACATATATACATGCACACATATACATATCCACATACATATATACACACAAATATGCATATAGACAAGCACACACATATACACACAATATGAATGTACACATATAAACACAAATATACACACACATATATAAGCAAACACATATATACACAAATATATACACATATACATAATATGCATGTACACATAAACACACAAATACAAATATATACACACATATACACAATATGCATGTACACATATACATATCCACATACATACATATATACACACAAATATGCATATAGACAAGCACACACATATACACACAATATGCATGTACACATATAAACACAAATATACACACACACACACATATATATATAAGCAAACACACATATATACACAAATATATACACACATATAGGAGCCCCCGGTGGCGCAGTGGGTTAAAGCACTGAGCTGCTGAGCTTGTTGATCGAAAGGTCGCAGGTTTCGATTCCGGGGAGCGGCGTGAGCTTCCGCTGTCAGCCCTAGCTTCTGCCAACCTAGCAGTTCGAAAAAATGCAAATGTGAGTAGATCAATAGGTACCGCTCCGGTGGGAACCAACAGGGCGCTCCATGCAGTCATGCCGGCCACATGACCTTGGAGGTGTCTACGGACAACGCTGGCTCTTCGGCTTAGAAATGGAGATGAGCACCACACCCCAGAGTCAGACATGACTGGACTTAATGTCAGGGGACTACCTTTACCTTTACCATACACACATATATATAATATGCATGTACACATATAAACACACAAATACAAATATATACACACATATATACACAAATATATACACACATATACACAATATGCATGTACACATAAACACACAAATATTCACACACACACACACCCCCCACACACATATATATAAGCAAACACACATATATACACAAATATATACACACACATACACAGTATGCATGTACACAAAAGTGTAATTGAGAGGAGCCCAATAAACACACAAATACACAGATATATACACACACATATATACACCCACATATATTTATGCAAACATACATATATACACACACAAAACACATATACACAGACTGGGCCACAACAACATGTGGCAGGGGACAGCTAGTAATCTATATAAATAAAAATGTAATGTTAGTTTGTGGGATTGACAGAACTCAAAAACCACTGGACGAATTGACACCAAATTGACAAGACACCTAACAACCCAATGTATGTCCTTCACTCAAAAAGAATTGATTTTGTCATTTGGGAGTTGTAGTTGCTGGGATTTATAGTACAATCAAATAGCATTCTAAACCCCACCAACGATGGAATTGAACCAAACTTGGCACACAGTTCTCCCATGACCAACAGAAAATTCTGGAAGGGTTTGGTGGGCAGTGTCCTTTGGTTTTGGAGTTGTAGTTCACCTGCATCCAGAGATCACTGTGGATGCAAACAATGATGGATCTGGACCAAACTCTACATGAAGACTCAATATGCCCAAATGTGAACACTGGTGGAGTGTGGGGAAAATAGAATCTTGACATTTGGGAGTTGTAGTTGCTGGGATTTATAGTTCACCTACAATCACAGAGCATTCTGAACCCCACCAACGATAGAATTGGGCCAAATCTCCCACACAGAACCCCCATGTGGGCCACAGCAACGCGTGGCAGGGGACAGCTAGTAATAATAATAATGGATCTGCACACATCATTCGAAAACACATCACACAGTCCAAGACGCTTGGGAAGTGTTCGACTTGAGATTTTTTGATACGAAATCCATCATATAGATCTCGTTTGCTGTAACATACTGTGATTTTGTGTCAGTAAAGTAATAATAATAATAATAATTATTATTATTATTATTATTATTATTATTATTATTTATTTATTTGATCAGTCATATGACCATTTCAAAACACAAACTTTGCATTTTATTTATCGTAACAACAACAACAACAACAACAAAGACTCTGGCACAAGCCAGTCAAGGTGGTCCCAGTGATGATCAGCTCACTGGGTGCAGTGCCTAAAAACCTTGGCCTGGACTTAAACACAATCAGCACTGACAAAATAACCATCTGTCAGCTGCAAAGGATGACCTTACCGGAATCTGCACGCATTATTAGCCGATACATCACACAGTCCTAGACATTGGGAAGTGTCCAACGTGTGATGCAATACAACAGCCAACAGAGTGTCTGCTGTGGACTCATCTTGTGTTTCAAATAATAATAATAATAATAATAATAATAATAATAATAATAATAAATAACAAGGGTCTGTAGAACAAGCCCTATGAAGAGCGGCTTAAAGAGCTGGGCATGTTTAGCCTGAAGAAGAGAAGGCTGAGAGGAGATATGATAGCCACATATAAATATGTGAGATGAAGTCACAGGGAGGAAGGAGCAAGCTTGTTTTCTGCTTCCCTGGAGACTAGGACGCAGAACAATGACTTCAAACTACAAGAAATGAGATTCCATCTGAACATGAGGAAGAACTTCCTGACTGTGAGAGTTGTTCAGCAGTGGAACTCTCTGCCCCAGAGTGTGGTGGAGGCTCCTTCTTTGGAAACTTTTAAACAGAGGCTGGATGACAATCTGTCAGGGGTGCTTTGAATGCAATATTCCTGCTTCTTGGCAGAGGGTTGGACTGGATGGCCCATGAGGTCTCTTCCAACTCTATGATTCTATGATAATAATAATAATAATAATAATAATCTTTATTTATACCCTGTCACCATCTCCCCAAAGGAGACTCGGGGCGGCTAACATGAGGCCAAGCCCAAAGATACAATACAGGAAAATAAAATACAAAATGCAGGCAACAAAAATTTCAGCAGAATAAACTCAGCCACTGAGTTAACTTCCCCCAACGGTAGAAAAATCCTGGGATTCTTTACCCTAACCCTGAGCTGCTAGTTTTAGAAAGAACAGGTCTTTCCCTATGTAAGCTCAAGGTTAGTTTGGGGATGAAGTGATGGAGCGTCTCCCAATGGCAGAGAAATCCTGAGATATTCTCTGCCCCAGCGCTGAGCTACTATCTTTAGAAATAGCAGGTCTTCCCCTGTCTGAGCTCAGCACCAGTTTCAAAGGCAAGAGGGTAAGTACTCACAATGGCCTGTCCGAGCTGCCTAGCTTGACCACCAGCACATCTGAGGCTTTTTCTAAACTGAAGAAGGCAGAAGAGCTTTTCCAAAATGGAGATCTCATCCCCAGGAAAAAGGGCGGTCTCTAGACCAAAAGATACTTTTTTAAACCAATAACAGCAAAAGGCTTTTGCAGGCTGGCTTTAAGCCCTTGTTAATGGTTAACTTTCAGGGTGCTGGTGAGACTATAGCAACCCTGGGGAAAATGCAAAAGGATGCTGTTTCATGCAACTAAGGGGCAATGCAAACCAAGCTCCTAGAAAACGGAACAAGGGCTTAGCTTTCCAGTGGTTCAGTGTGCACAAAATTATTTGTAATATTGTTTATAAAATTACCTCCAGGCTGTGTCTATAAAGTTTACATGAAACATTCCTGTATATGAATTTCATGTTTAGACTTGGGTCTCATTTCCAGGATACCGCATTAAGTATGTCTATGCAAATACATGTATTGCAAAATCCAAAAGAATCAGAAACCCAAAGCACTTCTAATCCCAAACTGTTTGCATAGCAGATGCTCAGAATGTAGAAAGAGATGATTTAAGTTTAGCGTGACTTGGGGAAGTTATAATCTTAAGAACTGTTTATAAGGAAGCAACAGATACTGATAAAATAATTGTATTCCTGCACAAGATATACAGTTGGCCTGTATATCCATAGAGCAGTGGTTCTCAACCTTTTGAATGCCGCGACCCCTTAGAACAGTTCCTCATGTTGTGGTGACCCCCAACCATAATATTATTTTCGTTGCTACTTCACAACTGTAATTTTGCTCCTGTTATGAATTGTCATCTAAATATCTGATGTGCAGGATGTATTTTCAGTCACTGGACCAAATTTGGCACAAATACCCAATACTCCCAAATTTGAATACTGGTGAGGTTGGGGGTGATTGTTTTGGTCATTTGGTAATGCTGGAGTTGCTGGGATTTATAGTTCACCTAAAATCAAAGAGCCTTCCGAACTCCATCAATGATGGAATTGAGTCAAACTGGGCACACAGAATTCCCATGACCAAGAGAAAATACTGGGAAGGTCTGGTGAACATTGACCTTGAGTTTTTGGGAGTTGTAGTTCACCTACATCCAGAAAACACTGTGGACTCAAGCAATGATGGATCTGGATCAAACTTGGCACAAATACTCAATATGCCCAAGTGTGAACACTGGTAGGGTTTGGAGAAAATAGGCCTTGCCATTTGGGAGTTGTAATTGTTGGGATTTATCGTTCACCCACAATAAAATAGCTTTCTGCACCCCACTGATAGAATTGGACCAAACTTTCCACACAGAACCCCCATGACCAACAGAAAATACTATGTTTTCTGATGGTCTTTGGCAACCCCTCTGACACCCACTCGTGGCCCCCATGGGGGTCCTGACCCCCAGGTTGAGAAACACTGCCATAGAGTCTGTATTCATGGATTCAACCATCCACAGCATGAACATTTAAGTCCAAAAACAACCCAAGTTTTTGTCACTTTATATGAGGGAAACTATTTTACTATACCATTGCATATAATGGTATAGTAATAATTTGAAGACCAATAGCAGCAACAATAACATGATGTGCTCTTTTTCTGCACGTTTAAGTTAGGAGGCAGTTTTGTATGCTTGTAATTAAATTCAATGATTAATTTATTAGGAAACGCAAGGATGGGACTAATTCCATGTGGTTGCTCAGGATGCAGCGACTCTGTAAAATTAATGCAGTTTGATACCACTTTAGCCTCCATGGCTCAGTGCAGTGGAATCATGGGAGTTGTAGTTTTACAAGGTCTTTATTGTTCTGTAATTAATATTAATATTTTTGTTCCTACTTGACACAGAAATTTATATGTTTAGCCCAATGATGTTCGTAGCATTGAGCCATAAGTACTTTCAAACTGCATTAATTATACAGTGCAGGTGAAGTTAACTGACTGTCCAGTTATTTTACCAATATTACTTTATCAATATGATTCTCATTACATTATTAATATTTATTATTTATTATTATTTATTATTTACTTCATTTATATACCACTTTTCTCAGCCATCAGGCGACTTAATATTTTGTTCCTACTTTACACAGAAACCTATATGTTTCATCAAATACTGTTCATTGCATTGAGCTATAGGCAGTTAAAATAGTATCAAACTGTATTCATGCTACAGTGCAGATGCAATTAACTAACTGCCTGATTATTTTATCAATAAGTTTCTTATTACCAGTATATTATTAATATTTATTAGTATTTATTAGTATTTAGTACAGATGCAATTAACTGATGGCCCAGTTATTTTACCAATATGATGATTATTAAATTATTAATATTTATTAATAATTTTGTTCCCGCTTGACACAGAAACCTGTATGTTGTGCTCAGTGACATCCATAGCAATGAGCCATGGGCAGTTAAAGTAGTATCAAACTGCATACATTCTACAGTGCAGATGCAATTAACTGACGGCCTGATTATTTTATCAATAAGATTCTTATTACCTGTATATTATTAATATTTATTAATATTTATTAGTATTTAGTGCAGATGTAATTAACCGACTGCCCAGTTATTTTACCAGTATGATTACTATTAAATTTTTAATATTTATTAATATTTTTGATCCTGCTTGACTCAGAAACCTGTATGTTTTGCTCAGTGATATCCATAGTATTAAGCCATGGGCAGTTAAAGTAGTGTCAAACTGCATTCATTCTACAGTGCAGATGCAGATTAATCTTATACTGGTAATAAAAATCTTACTGATAAGATTAATCTGCATCTTCACTGTAGAATGAATGCAGTTTGACACTACTTTAACTGCCCATGGCTCAATGCTATGGATGTCACTGAGCAAAACATACTGGTTTCTGTGCCGAGTAGGAACACAATGTTAATAAATATTAATAATATACTGGTAATAAGAATCTTATTGATATTATTAATATGTATTAATATTGTGTTCCTACTCGACACAGAAACCTGTATGTTTAATGCTGTTCATAGCATTGAGCCATGGGCAATTATAGTAGTTCCAAACTGTATTCATTCGACAGTGCAGATGCAATTGACTGCCCAGTTATTTTACTAATACGATTATAATTAATATTTATTAATATTTGAGTTCTGACTTGACTCAGAAGAGTATGTTTCACCCAATAATATTCATAGCATCGTATGGTGGCATCGTATGGTGCTTCTGTGAGGCCGGCCTGAGCCCCCCCCCCTTCTGGGGGTGAGAAGGGCGGGGTATACATATAGGAAAATAAATAAATAAATAAATAATAGTATTGAGCCATGGGCAGTTAAAGCAGTGTCAAACTGCATTAATTCTACAGTGTAGATGCATCCTCAGTTTACGTGCAAGGTAGCAAGCCCCAGCGAGTATATTCAACAAGACTTTTGAAACATCCATAGAGTTGCATTGTGAGTCTCTGTTGTTGTCTTTCCCTCCACAGCGGCCCCCATGACCGGAGAGTTGCGCTGCCGGTGCATTCAGAAGGTTTCCGAGATGATTGCGCCCAGGCACTTTGCCAACATAGAGCTCACCCCTGAAGGTCCCCATTGCCCCGTCTCTGAAGTCATGTAAGTCTCCTGAACCTGCCCAACCCCTTTCTTGAAATCCATGTGTGCAGAAGTTATTAATACTTTGCATGTTTTAAACTGTATATATATGTGTGTTTGGGTTAGCTACAGTAACACTGGAGCAGCCTATTTCAGAGATCCTCAGTCAGCGTTGCCATGGAGACCAAGGCAAGCTGGCAGAAGGAGAAGTGGGAGGAGCCAAGTGGAGAGAGTTTTGAAAAAACAGACAGTTTGAGAGTCAGTTAGGAGTTGATTTTGTATCTGAGAGGAGTAAAAGAGTGGAAGTGAAGAGTAGAGTGGGAGAGTGAAGTGTGAAGCAAAGAACTGTGGCTTTGGGGAAGCCTGAATAGCTACAAGAGGTTTCTCAGTCTAAGGAGGCTGAAAGGAGAAACATAGCCAGTTTTCTTTAGTCAAGGGAAAGGCTAAAGGATAAGCTTGTTAATTTATTTGATCAAGGAAAGATCAAATAGGGAAGATATTCCTGTACTGAAACATTGTTTAGTAACAAGAGCTTCACCTCAGTAAGATACTGTGTAACCTGGAAGAGTGAAATGTTTAACTAACCAAGTATTATTCAAAGTTCTATAAAATAAGTTACAATCTTGCAACCACACGCTTTGTACTCAATAAACCAGTTATCTTTTGTTGAAGACAGTCTCATCTCCATCCATTCTGCGTCTGTATTGCCATATCTCACAGTAATACCTCATATCTCACGTTGGTGGCAGTTACCATAGATTGCATATAACAATTGGCCTCCACTATACCAGTTGGTGGCAGAATTCAGAGAAATAGACAGTAATTCCCCCCTACTCCCCTGTCACACGATAGCATGTGTGCTTTCTCTCCACTCTGATCACCTCCTCGCACATGCCTCCTTCAGTGATGTAACCCTGCTCTCTTCATTCAAATAGAGCCACCTTGAAGTCTGGGAAAGAAGTCTGCCTGGATCCCACTTCCCGATGGGTCAAGTTGATTATCAGTAAGATTCTCAAACAGGTACTTGCAAACTGTCTAAAATAGCTCTGCATGTGTACAACACCTTTCCAGGATTACTTGTGATTTTATTCTCCAAACAATTATTATTGGAAATAAAGTGTGGCTTAAATAGAAATATTGCAGCTTTTCCTTACTGGAGATAATGTACCTTTTCAAAGAATATTGAATATTTGTCCTATTATTATAGGGCATGTAATTATGATAGCATGGGCTTGTATGTTGTAATGGTATGAGTACTAGACTTGGATTTCAGGAAATTTTGAACCATAACACTTTCTCAGCCTTAGAAGAAGGCAATGGTATACCTCTCTGAATATTGATGCATCTATACTGTAGAATTAATGTGGCTTGACGCCACTCTAACCGCGTGGCTCAATGCAGTTTGGATGTTGTTTGGTGCGGCAAAACACCTTATAAACAGCATAGAATAGAATAGATTTATTGTCGTACTATTGCACAACAAAATTAAATGCTTTCCCCAGCACACCTCACAAAACAACGCACCCAACTCTCTACACTGAGACCACCACCACAAAGCCCCAGTGCCACATCAGTGTGAAACCATGGAGTTCAGTATAGTTACAGCTCTAGAATAAAAGCTATCTCTACAATTCCCATGATTCCATAACATTGAGCCATGGCAACTAAAGTGGTATCAAACTGCATCAATTCTACAGTGTGGATACACCCTCAGTCTTGCAAAAAAAAAAAAAAGCTCTTTATGATTGGGTTGCCATATGTTCAAGTTAACTTGAACATACATGACAGTCATAATTATAAGTATTTTCACCATCATCATAATAAAACATTATTTATATACCACTCTATCTCCCCGAGGGGGGACTCAGGGCGATTTCCAAGCAACATCACCAAAATATACAGAATAAACAGTATAACAAGATTAACAAAACAACATAAGCATAAAATTATCACAATTACACATATATATTAAAAATAATCCTGCCTGTTCAGAGCAATTAAAAGGCTGGGCCGAGGCATGAGCTGATATTAAGACTAAATACATTTTTCATGGCCTAGAATAGTGTGTTTGTGAGTATCTAGCAAAAGTGACCCCTATAGACACCAAGAGATCAGTTCCCAGTTGATTTTTTAAATTACTAGCCATCCCCTGCCACGCGTTGCTGTGGCCCAGTTTGGTGATCTGGAAAATAAAGTAATGAGAAAGTGTTGGTTTTTAATATATGTAATTTCTTTATTCTTGTGGGTAAACAGTATTTCTTGCTGTTTCTTTGTCAGTGTTGATGTGGAAATGGTCTGGTTTGCCTACTCTGGAACATGCAATATATAATTGTCCTTCTTTACGGTTCCCTTTCAAATCTATGATACTATAACTCTGTGTGTGTGAATCATATATATATCTATGGCTGGATGGCTCTTTGTCAGGAGGGCTTTGATTACGTTTTCATGCCCCGGTGAAGGGAGTTGGACTGGATGGCTTTAAGTATTTTCTGTTGGTCATGGGGATTCCGTGTGGGAAGTTTGCCCCAATTCTGTCGTTGGTAGGGTTCAGAACACTCTTTGATTGCAGGTGAACTATAAATCCCAGTAACTACAACTCCCAAATGTCAAGGTCTATTTCCCCCAAACTCCATCTGTGTTCATATTTGGGCATATGGAATATTCGTGCCAAGTTTGGTCCAGATCCACCATTGTTTGAGTCCATGGTAGTCTCTGGATGTAGGTGAACTACAACTCCCAAACTCAAGGTCAATGCTCACCAAACCTGTTGGTCATGGGAGTCCTGTATGCTCCGGTTGGTTCAATTCTATCATGCTATTTGATTGTAGGTGAACTATAAATCCCACTAACTACAACTCCCAAAAGACAAAATCAATGTTTTGAGTTAAGGACATACATTGGGTTGTTAGGTGTATGCTGTCCAAATTTGGTGTCAATTCATCCAGTGATTTATGAGTTATGTTAATCCCGCAAATGAACATTACATTTTTATTTATATAGATTTGCTAAGAGGCACTGATAGTGGAGAATGATGAAGAGCATGGGAAAAAAAATCTTGAGACGGCACCCTTCTTCTCTATACTTTCACATCTTTCCACTTACAAATTATTCTATCTGTGGTTTTTGCAGGTGAACACTAAGCTCTGAAGGAAGCACTGAAAATGGATTTGGAGCTATCATTACAGATCACTGTGCGAGAGACAGAAAAGGGATGAAGTACTTGTGAAGCCTGTGTTGGAAAAGCTGGAACTGAGTTCTGCTTCTGATGTTCATAAAAAATCAAACTGTTCAACTGCAGCACTGCTATTTTCTACTTGTATTTATTACTAAACCTCATTTTAAAAATGTATTTATGGCTCCTTTTTGTAATACCCATCTGATCAAATCAGAGTTCTATATGCCCGTGTTATGCATGCTGTGAAACTACCAACTTCAAGAGGCTTTGTTGGCCGTGCTGTTTGAGGCATTCTGGAAGAGTAATCCAAAAGAAATATTTTCAGAGCTCTTTTGGATGTATAGCTCTATATATTTTAGTTGTTGTAAACCTACTGTGACTTACAATAAGCATAAAGAAGGATGAAAGTATAAATGTGCTTAATATATCAGTAAAAGTCAGTGTGGTGTAGTCATTTGAGTGATGGATACCAGGGTTCAAATCGCCACTCATCCATGGAAACCCACTGGGTGACTTTGGTCAAACCACATGCTCTCAGGCCCCATCTACACTGTCCATTTAATGCAGTTTCAAACTGGTATTGAACAAAGTAGTTTCAGTGGGTTGTTTTAGGTTTTTCCGGGCTATATGGCCATGTTCTAGAGGCATTTTCTCCTGACGTTTCGCCTGCATCTATGGCAAGCATCCTCAGAGGTATTGAGGTCTGTTGGAAGTAGGAAAATGGGTTTATATATCTGTGGAATGACCAGGGTGGGACAAAGGACTTTTGTCTGCTGGAGCTAGGTGTGAATTTTTCAACCTAGTAGTTCACCATGCAGATTATGTAGGAAATCTTGAACCCAGTTTGATGCCTGGATGGTGATTACAGAAACCATAGAGCACCAATGTACGTTAAGGGATTTCTTTTGTGTAATGTATTGTCGAAGGCTTTAATGGCTGGAATCACTAGGTTCTTGTGGGTTTTTTCGGGCTATAGAGCCATGTTCTAGAGGCATTTCTCCTGACGTTTCGCCTGCATCTATGGCAAGCATCCTCAGAGGTACTTTAGTGAGTTTGTTGTCTGGCCACACTGCATTAAATGGTCAGTAAAGATGGGGTCTCGGCCTCAGGAAGACAAGGGTGATCCCTCTCTGACAAATCTTGCTAAGAAAACCCATGATATGCTTTCACTAGGATCTCTTTATATCAAGAAAACTGCTATCTGGCAAGACGTTCTTCTGGTGTTGATCTTGTCTACTTCATTGGGAATTTGGTTGTTGTAGGTTTTTTCGGGCTATATGGCCATGTTCTAGAGCAGGGGTCTTCAAACTAAGGCCCGGGGGCCGGATACGGCCCTCCAAGGTAATTTATCCGGCCCTCACTGAAATGACTTGAAAGCACACGACAACAACAACAACAATCCTATCTCTTCAGCCAAAAGCAGGTTCGCACTTCCCATTGAAATAAGTTTATATTGGTTAAAATTGTTCTTCATTTTAATTATTGTATTGTTTTTAATTGTTTTTTGAACTACAAATATGTGTAGTGTGCGTAGGAATTCATTCATGTTTTTTTTTTCAAATTATAATCCGGCCCTCCAACAGTTTGAGGGACTGTGACTTGGCCCTCTGTTTAAAAAGTTTGTGGACCCCTGTTCTAAAGGCATTCTCTCCTGACGTTTTGCCTGCATCTATGGCAAGCATCTTGAGAGGTTGTGAGGTCTCCAGAGGTCTTGAGGTTTCAGACCTCACAACCTCTGAGGATGCTTGCCATAGATGCAGGCGAAACATCAGGAGAGAATTCTTCTAGAACATGGCCATATAGCCCGAAAAAACCTACAACAACCCAGTGATTCCAGCCATGAAAGCCTTCGACAATTCATTGGAAGTTGTGCCCGAGAAACTCTTTTTTTTAAATGAATTTTTATTAAGTTTTTATTAAGTACAGCGAAAGAGGGGGAATATTTTCAAGATGATAGTAAAGTAGGAAATTATAGTGGCGATATCAAACAGACAAACTGGTCAATAAATGATGAGTATATTGAAAATGGGTACAAAGATATTTAATGGTACTGAGGTAACAAAAAATTGGAAAGAAGTATCATACAAGACTACAGACTAACAGAACTTATACGGGCAGAATCAGAAGGAAGTCCACATTTTATTTTGTTTGTTTGTTTTTTTAGTATTTTTCGCATTTTTATATGTATTTTTTCTCTCTTTTTTTAATTTTTTACATTTAGTTAGATTCTCGCCACTATAATTTCCTACTTTACTATCTTCGTGCCCGAGAAACTCTTAAGACACAAGAATATCAAATAACTCAACTGTTACTGCCAGGTCAGAAATATATTTTCGTTCAGCGATGAGCAGCTATGTCAGAAGTAAATATAGATGTCAGTAAGCTGCACATGTCCATTTTTTTGACACTGAATGTGACCAAAATGCCATTTCTATGTTTTAATTGGTAATTTTAATTTCTGCATCCCAAGAAACTATGAAATTCCCAGCAATGACCTTCATAGAGTTTTGGTGTCATGATTGGATTGCATTTTGTGCAATTTTTTCCAGCTTGTAGGACTTGACGGAACCACACTTCACAGCCTAATACATGGTGTATATAACCCTTGAGCTGCGCTTTGTTTACTTCCGAGATGTGTCTGGACTACAGTAGAAAAAAAGTCTGCCCTAATTGCTTAGCGAAGTAATAAGACTGTAAGCCTTGGGTTGTTTTCCTCTTCAGAAAGATATCTGCAACATAAAAACAGCAGGAAGCATTTTGAAAAGGAATCCTGTAGCATTTTGAAGACCAACCAGTTTATTTCAGCACATGCTTTTGAGGCTTTCAGGCTCCTCCTTTATGCGCTTCTTCTATTTGGAGAAGTAGGCTGGAGTCTATGAAGCTTTATGCTGGAATAAATGGATGACCACCAGACTCCTTTCTAAATCCCTTCTTCTGCAAACTATCCTCTGTACTTGGATTAAAATATCCAGTGTCTGGACTAAGCGATGCTCAAATTGCCCAAGGAAAGGAATTGAATGTATAATTCTGAAAAGTGTGTTTCATTACTTTTTGGGAAGTGTTTGTACAAACCTCTCGGAATGAATGTATTTTGATTTGTTTTCTATGATAGGTCTACCATTCACTGATGTCGTCGTTGAAAACTTGGCTGTGAGATTAGAGAATGGATCTTTACTTTGCTTGATAGCTGTATGAAACTATTTTTAAAAAACTATTTATATATTGATATTTTAATAACAGCAGTGTCCTGAATTGACTGTAAAATTGTAATGTTCATAGCATTGTAATGTGTCAATTGTATGGCATAGCACCATGTTTCTTTTTAAGAATAAAAAGTTTTGCTGAGATCCTTGCGCATTGAAAATATTTCATCTTCTTAACATTTTCTGGAAAGCCACACGTTAAAACGCTGATCTTACTGCACTGAGCAATGCTTATCTTTAGGAATGACTAGGTTTCTAATGACTAAATTAAAAATGTTGAATCATATAATATACCAAATAATGTACAACTCCATAATACATTTTCATATTTCAATTTACTGTATATACTCGAGTATAAGCCTAGTTTTTCAGTCCTTTTTTAGGCTGAAAAAGTCTCCCTCGGCTTATACGCAAGTCAAGGTTTTTTTTTTACTCTATTATTATTATTATTATTATTATTATTATTACATTAATCTATTTACTCTATTATTATTACTACATTTATTATTTTATTCTTTATTATTGTTATTATTACATTTATTATTTTACTCTATTATTATCACATTAATCATTTTACTCTATTATTACATTTATTATTTTATTCTTTATTATTGTTATTATTACATTTATTATTTTACTTTATTATAATTGGAAGGATATGTAAACACATTTACACTGAAGGTTAGAATAATGCTTTAATCAGAGGACAGTCTTATCTTATTTACTCAAAAACATTTAACCTACCAATGCCTCAATTAAGGCAATTTTATTGGTATCGAATTTTATTTTGGAATATACCAGTAGCTGCTGCATTTCTCACCTTCGGCTTATACTCAAGTCAATCCGTTTTCCCAGTTTTTTGTTGTAAAATGAGGTGCTTCGGCTTATATTCGGGTCGGCTTATACTCGAGTATATACGGTATATACTGCCCTTTGGCTCAAGTGGACAAAGTATTATAAGACTACATATAGTCTTATAAATATAATCGGAATACAGGCAATAGTCTTTATGGTAGTATAACAAATAGGCTTGTTTGATTAAAAAAATGGTTCAAATCTTGATTTGGATGTAGGGGGCACTGGTGGTTCAATTCTAAAGTAAATTCTGATTTTCACAGAAAAATGTTCAAAACTTTTCAAAACTTCCAAGACTTATGAATCCTTTCGTTAATGGCTTGAAAGTGTTATTTCCTGTTTCATTGGGTGGTCTTTACTTTGAAAGTAGTTGTTTTACTCCAGAAGCAGGGAAAAGCAAGCAGAGAAAATTCCTTCCTTCTCTGGTTTAAAACTAGCTTCTCTGGCTTGAACCAAGGCCAGGAACCAGAAGCAGGGAAAAGCAAGTGGAGTAAATTCTTTCCTTTTCTGGTTTAAAACTGGCTTCTCTGGCTTGAGCCGAGGCCAGGAAATTCCTTCCTTTTCTGGTTTGAAACTGGCTTCTCTGGCTTGAGCCGAGGCCAGGAACCAGAAGCGGGGAAAAGCAAGTGGAGTAAATTCTTTCCTTCTCTGGTTTAAAACTGGCTTCTCTGGCTTGAGCTGAGGCCAGGAAATTCCTTCCTTTTCTGGTTTAAAACTGGCTTCTCTGGCTTGAGCTCAGGCTAGGAAATTCCTTCCTTCTCTGGTTTAAAACTGGCTTCTCTGGCTTGAGCCGAGGCCAGGAAATTCCTTCCTTTTCTGGTTTAAAACTGGCTTCTCTGGCTTGAGCCGAGGCCAGGAAATTCCTTCCTTCTCTGGTTTAAAACTGGCTTCTCTGGCTTGAGCCAAGGCCAGGAAATTCCTTCCTTTTCTGGTTTAAAACTGGCTTCTCTGGCTTGAGCTGAGGTCAGGAAATTCCTTCCTTTTCTGGTTTAAAACTGGCTTCTCTGGCTTGAGCTGAGATCGGGAAATTCCTTCCTTTTCTGGTTTAAAACTGGCTTCTCTGGCTTGAGCTGAGGCCAGGAAATTCCTTCCTTTTCTGGTTTAAAACTGGCTTCTCTGGCTTGACCTGAGGACAGGAAATTCCTTCCTTTTCTGGTTTAAAACTGGCTTCTCTGGCTTGAGCCGAGGCCAGGGACCAGAAGCAGGGAAAAGCAAGTGGAATAAATTCTTTCCTTCTCTGGTTTAAAACTGGCTTCACTGGCTTGAGCCGAGGCCAGGAAATTCCTTCCTTTTCTGGTTTAAAACTGGCTTCTCTGGCTTGAGCTGGGGCCAGGGACCAGAAGTGGAGAAAAGTTGCATCATTTCCGACTCACTTCATGAGTCGTAACAAAAATTGCGGAAAAAGCTTCGGAAGGGCAAAGGGACTTCCAGTTTTCTTAAAAACTTCAAAATCGCTTTGAAAAGGTAATTTTTCCGAATTTATTCCAAATTACGAAGATTCCGATGGTACCTGACCATGCCTAATAACAAGAGGAAAGTGACTACAGTGAGCTCTTGGCATCTACTAGGGTTTGGGTACCCCTTTGGATACTAATATCCATGGATGCTCAGGTCCCATTATTTACAATAGTATAATAAATTAGTCTCTCTTATATAATCTGTGCATACAGAATCAGTGGATATGGAGAACAATACAAGCAATTGCCCCTGGCACCCTGCAACCCCAAGATCCTTTTCAAATAAATATATCTCCACTCCTTTCTTGAAGGATCTTGAATGCTTCCTGAAGTACTATTTTGTTCTTATAGTACAAAGGTTGATCGTGTCATGCAGCCTGAGAAGTAAATAGGATTTCAATTTTTCTGAAGCGTGGTGGTCAGTGTCCACCATGTTACCAAATGTTGCTTCTCATATGAATGGCCTGCTTATGTGCCTAGTAAAAAAGGTAAAGGAGGGAATATACACAAGATTCAAATTCTTCTGAAGAGGATCATAGAATCAGGATCATAAAGTTGGAAGAGACTCCAAGTACCATTCATTCCAACCCCCTGCCATGCAGGTAGACAGAATCAAAGCAGCTCTGACAGACAGCCATCTAGACTCTGCTTAAAAACTCCATCATACTCCAAGGCAACATATTCCACTGCCAGACATATTTTAAGTACTTTTTGCCTTCTAAGGCTGAGAAAGTGTGACTGGTTCTAAATCACCCACTCTATGGCTGAACTAAATTGATCTGCTCCATAATCTTTCCTGGTAGTGATGACAGGTTGACTGGGCAGTAATTGTTTGAGTGGGACCGAGAGCAGGGCCCCCCCAGAAGATCTTAATAACCTTGATGGTTCATAGGGGAGAATCCGTTCGGAC